ACTGTTATGGAGCGGCACTCATTCCATCATGGTGGCTGGGGAATTCTGGGAGTTGATGTCCACACATCTTAAAGCTGCCAAATCTGAAAAACACTGATTTATGTAAATGTTTCTCACTAAATAGTGTGTGTGGGAGTATCCTGTGTGACATCCAGTAAAGAAAGAAGCATTGACATGGGTGATATTTTTGTTTCAATTTTGAATCAACATAGCTAATAATTAAACTTTAAGAATAAATTAGAGAGATGGACTGCTGTTATTGAAAGCTATTAGATTTCATAGTAATACATGTCATAATTACAAAACCAAAACAAACCCAGAGAAGAAAATATTTCAGTGACCTCTAGGAACTGCCTGTTGATTTTAAGCAATCAGTTGATGTTTCTCTTTTGCTTATTTTTATATGCATTGTTAAGGTTGCATATGATATTTTATACAGATAAAGCTACATAGACACCGTTAGAAAACATAGAATTAAATATGGTTTATATCTTAAAGAGCAATCTGCCACTATGCAGTATAACATTAAGTACTTCCCCCAGACTAAATGTATATTTATGTGGCTTCCCTTTATATACCATTATAAAATTTCTCTATCCTTCATTTTTGTCCCTTCTTAAAAAAAGAGTATTCAGAAAAGCAAAAAAGGGCGTATTCATTATTTCATATAGTAACATCATTCATGTTTGGGAAGTCTTTGTTATTTGTGCCTGGTATCTATCGTAATAAATGTGAAAGAATGAAAACTCTGGTGTTCCCATTTCCCAGAGAACACTGAACAATTGTTCTGTTACATATAGGCCAAACAGTTGGAAAGAACCCTTCTCTGACAACAGAAAATGGAAACCATGTATCATATGATCCTTTGGGCCAATTAAGCAACAGGATTTTCTTCATTTACATAGTGCTTGTGGGAAATATGTGAAGAAATATGGAAATCAGCCCTAGTTGCAATATATATTAAGAAAGTACTTAATGTTATACTGCATTGTGTGTGTGTGTGTGTGTATGTACTGTATATTGAAATGTATGTATGTGTATTGAA